ATCCACATAAGCACCTCTGAAATGCCAAGCCCACAAGCTGCAACAGTGCCGACCCAGAGTCCCTAAAAGCCTTCCCTAGTTCCCAGAGGCCATGTCCCTTCCAACAAAGACAGGAAGGACTTAAATACAAGGCCACAGAGGAAGATACAAGAGAGTGAGGCTGTCATGGGCATAGCAATGTGGGGAATGAGTGACTCTGGCACAGTCTAGCACCATGACCAATACCTATTAATTGCCTACCACCAAAATCCTTCACGTCACATCCTCTCATCTACATGGCTAATTCTGGTTGGCATCTGCTTTCTGTGATGTGCAGTCCAGCCAAACCAAGTTGACAGGCATAAGAAGGAAACCTAAGAACTGAAGAAAAACACATCAGCCATGAAAACCACAGACTGCCATCCCAAAAAAGGCCCCTTGTTCTCATCTTAAACCAAAGGCAATGCTCCAAACAGGAGGAGGGACCTCCACTGACATCAAACAAACATTAAGGGAATCAGACAGTTGCAGAGAATTACAATGGACTATTAAATCCATTCCAACTAATTCATGTTACACAAAAGAGAAGGAACTTGCTTAAGGTCATGCAGCGTATGGCTAGACCTGGGTGAGAACCTGTCTGACTTCTGTGCATGATCCCATAAGTCCTCCTAATGGCCAATGGCTGCTAAATACTTCTATTCAGTCCCAACTGTCCCCAGGCTCTGACCACATATATCCTACCATCTCCTTGACACTACCTTTTGGCTGTCTCAAAAGCTCAAATCTCAACACTGATCTCATGATCTTGCCTCAATACTCCCAACACTGGTTTTTCATTCAGGGCTTCTCAGCTTAACAGATGACATCACCATCCATCCGCTTCCTGAGACAAAGACAAGAGAGTGGTGTCCAGTGTTTGAACTCGAGCCCAACTACTTCCAAGCTGTAACCTTAAGCAAGCTAAATGAAGTCTTTATACCTCAGGTTCTGTCATCTGAAAAATGGGATAATGATGGAAATTACCTTATGAGATAGTTCTAAGCACAGCAAGAGAGGTGAATAAAATGCAAAGCTCATAGAAAACATCTCTGTTTGTGTAGCTCCCTCTCTCCTCTTGCCTGCTCTCCTCCAGCCCCACTCCCTCACCTGGACAATAGGGATCAGCCCTTCCCCTTTCAACTTAAATGTGATTTCCCACTGGAAGACTTCCTTTATCACCCCCTGCCTGCTAAGGCTGGGTCCTAACTTCCCATCTCCATTTTTCATCCTCAAAGCACAGTATAATTTCTACTCACCACATATCATAATTATATATTTGCTTTGTGATGGTCTGATCAATAGCCACCTCCTCCAATAGTCTATAAGCTCCAGGAGGGCAGGGACTGGGAGTGTTATATCTCATTTTTGTATTCTCAACATGGTACTTGGCACTTAACAGGTGTTTAGTAAACATTAGTTGCTTAAAGTGCTCAAGAAATAGAGGAAAATAATAGAATTGGAAAGACTAGAGATCTATTCAAGAAAATCAGACATATCAAGGGAATATTTCATGCAAAGAAGGACACAATAAAGGAAAGAAAGGGCAAGGACCTAACAGAAGCACAAGAGATTAAGAATAGGTGGCAAGAATACACAGAAGAACTGTACAAAAAAGGTCTTAATGATCCAGATAACCACAATGGTGTGATCACTCACCTAGAGCCAGACAATTGGGAATGCGAAGTCAAGTGGGCCTTAGGAAGCATTACTATGAACAAAGTTAGTGGAGGTGATGGAATTCCAGCTGAGCTATTTCAAATCCTAAAAGACGATGCTGTGAAAGTGCTGCACTCAATATGCCAGCAAATTTGGAAAACCCAGCAGTGGCCACAGGACTAGAAAAGGTCAGTTTTCATTCTAATCCCAAAGAAGGGCAATGCCAAAGAATGTTAAAACTACCATACAACTGCACTCATCTCACACACTAGCAAGGTAATGCTCAAAATCCTTCAAACTAGGCTTTAACAGTATATGTACCAAGCACTTCCAGAGGTAAAAGCTGGATTTAGAAAAGGCAGAGGAATCAAAAATCAAATTACCAACATCCAATGGAGCATAGAAAAAGCAAGAGAATTTCAGAAAAACATCTACTTCTGCTTCATTGACTATGCTAAAGCCTTTGACTGTGTGGATCACAACAAAATGTGAAAAATTCTTAAAGAGATGGGAATGCCAGACCACCTGACCTGCCTCCTGAGAACTCTGTATGCAGGTCAAGAAGCAACAGTTAGAACTGGACATGGAACAACAGACTGGTTCCAGATTATTAAAGGAGTATATCAAGGCTGTATATTATCACCCTGCTTATTTAATGTATATGCATAGTACATCATGGGAAATGCTAGTCTGGATGAATCACAAGCTGGAATCAAGATTGCTGGGAGAAACATCAACAATCTCAACTATGCAGATGATACCACCCTAATGACAGAGAGCGAAGAGGAACTAAAGAGCCTCTTGATGAAGGTGAAAGAGGAAAGTGAAAAAATGGCTTAAAACTCAACATTCAAAAAATGAAGATCATGGCATCCAGTCTCATCACTTCACGGTAAATAGATGGGGAAACAATGGAAACAGTGGCAGATTTTATTTTCCTGGGCTCCAAAATCACTGCAGACAGTGACTGCAGCCATGAAATTAAAAGACGCTTAGAAGGAAATCTATGACAAACCTACACAGTGTATTAAAAAGCAGACATTTTTGTCAGTTTGCTGACAAAGGTCCATATAGTCAAAGCTATGGTTTTTCCAGTAACCATGTATGGATTCGAGAGTTGGACCATAAAGAAGGCTAAGCACCAAAGAATTGATGCTTTCAAACTGTGGTGCTGGAGAAGACTCTTGAGAGTCCCTTGGAGAGCAAGGAGATCAAACCAGTCAATCCTAAAGGAAATCAGTCCTGAATATTCATTGGAAGGACTGGTGCTGAAGCTCCAATACTTTGGCCACCTGATGCATAGAGCCAACTCACTGGAAACAACTCTGATGTTCAGAAAGATTGAGGGCAGGAGGAGAAGGGGACAACAGAGGATAAGATGGTTGGATGGTATCACTGACTCAATGGACACGAGTCTGAGCAAACTTTGGGAGACAGTGAAGGACAGGGAAGTCTGGCACACTGCAGTTTATAAGGTCGCAAAGATTCAGACATGACTTAGAAACTGAACAACAACAAGTTTTTTAAAGTGCTCAGGAAGCATGTTTGTTTACCAGCAGAAAAATGGGCCTAGAGATTAGAAGAGAAGGCCTGGGACACCAATCTAAATGAGAACCCAAAGCTATCAGCTGCCAGGTGGCTACACAGAAAGGGCCTGGTGAGCCCCATCCGACCACAGCAAAGTTCAGGATTTACTGCTTGTTTGACCATCATTCTAACAGTTCAGGATGTGGTCTCCAGAGCACTAGAATCAGCACTAGACTCTGCAGAAACAAGGACAGCCACATCTTGCAAATTTTTTTAGATGAATCCCAGTCCCTCTGATACCTTTCTTAATGTAACTATCAGTCCACAGTGGGTGTGATTCTCACGTTTAAAAACACTTATTTCTGTACAACAGGACCTCCAAGTGCAGCCAACTACTCCATCTGGGTGCTCAGCTGAAGAAACAACTGTCTGTTCCAACTTAGGGGTAAAACTAGCTCTACTGGACTTAGGAGAGAATGGCATCTTGGCTCCCCAATGTGGTACCAATAAGGGATTTTCAGGAATATTTTTTACTACACCCAGTGTTTGTTTATACAGCAACTCTAGAACCTAGTCTCCTTGTACCATGGCACTCTAACGAATATAGTGAAGTATTTCAAAGAACAAGTTTTGACACTGGGCAAGCCTGGTTCAAATTCTGGCTCTTCCACTTACTAGTTATAAATGAAACTTTAGACCCATGACCTGACCTCTCCCAGTCAGTTACCTCATCTGTAGTTGGATATGATAGTTGGAGGAAGCATTACACACAAATACACAGCATAAAGCTAATTATCTACCATCTTTAAGAAAATTCTTTGTACACAAGAGATCTACCTCAGAAATTCCATATCATGCCTACCAATCTCCAGAGGCTATAAAGTGGACACCTCAACCTCCCTCAGCCTTGTTTATTCTCTTCTAGAATACCAGCCCACTTCATTATGGGACTATCTGAGATCACCCTCTATTGTGAGGAGATCTCCCTCTGCATAAATGATGTTTCTTCCTCAGTTAGACAATTGAAATGTTATACAAACCACTCTATTTCTTCCTGTCTTTAGAGTCAAACAGCCAACTGTTTTCCCACAGATTCTCTCACACTGATGCACTCACCCTTTTTTGGGAATATGACTCCACCAGCATAGGACTCAGAGGTACTACACAACATAACAGCTGCAGACATAGGGTGAAAAAACAGCTCTTTATCCAAAGGACACAGTTGAGAAAAGGAAAGTAAAATTTTCTAAGTTGTGGTGTAACAAGGAGAAACTGAGATATCACTTGTGCTTCTACCATATTTCTTTTGTATCAACTACAAATAGGAAACTTTAGTTGCTGCCAAGTAACTGTTCTCCAAATAGCAGTGGACTAGGCACTGATAGAAAATACAGGAGAATCACCTCTGCCTTCTAAAGCTGGTAATTTAACTGGAGGCATAAAACAAATGGGCAATAGCAAAGTATGCACTGAATATGTAATAGTAAAGAATAAGGCAGAGATAAAAACAGTCTGTTTTAGACAAAGTAAAGGCCTCCTGAAGGAGGTGCCTAATGATTAAGCAGATGAAGGTGGAAGGGCATTTTAGACCAAAAATCAAAAACCAGGCCAGAGTAGTCTAGAGACACAGAGAAGGGAAGAAACAGAGTAAAAGGATTTAGAAAATATACAAGCAACAGAACAAGAAACATAATATCTGCATTAAGGGATAGCTTTATATCCTCCTTAAAAGGGGCTTCAAAAAGTCACACCCCCGAAGTCTCCCACTGGCATAACCTGACAGAGTCATCACTTACCCGGATAAGGGAAACCTGATGCCGAGGGGGTTTAGCTCCTGGGCCTCCCGATGAGGGTCCCTCAGGCTGGACAAGGGGCTGTCTAGCTTCATAAGGAGCTGAAACGGCAGGAGGGAAAGTCAGCATGGTTCACAAAGATTCCACCCAAAACATGAATTCACATTCAAACTGCTATAGTGTCTGCTCTTCAGGGAAGAATTAGTAATTAGTTTATACACAAAGGGTCACCTAAAACAAACAAGGGGTTCCCTCATAGCTCAGTAGGTAAAGAATCTGCCTGAGATGCAGGAGACCCTGGTTCGATTTCTGGGTCGGGAAGTTCTGCAGGAGAAGGGACAGGCTACCCACTCCAGTATTCTTGGGCTTCCCTTGTGGCTCATCTGGTAAAGAATCCACCTGCAATGTGGGAGACCTGGGTTTGGTCCCTGGGTTGGGAAACTCCTCTGGTGAAGGGAAAGGCTACCCACTCCAGTATTCTGGCCTGGAGAATCCCATGGACTAAGTCCATGGGGTTGCAAACAGTCAGACACAACTGAGTGACTTTCACTTTCACTTTCTTTCACTTAAGACAACAAACCTTAGTGCCCCTGGGTACAATTTAACTGAACCATCTAAAGATAGTCAACCAAGTCATAATAAAGCAGCAAGATATTTACATCAGGTTAAGATCAGCAATAAACTGGAAAGGTGGAAAGCTGTAAACATAAACTGGGATAGAAAATAATGAGAGTAGTTAGAAAAGTGCCAGATTTTAAATGTTCAACTTCTAAATATAAGGTAAATTCTATATATACCCTGCTATTTAGAATGCTTCCACTCATCATCCACACTCCCAAGAAGCAAGAAAGTCAGTATGAATTTTGAACATTAAGAATCAACATTATCATTTTGCTTATTTTTGAAAAAGAAATGCCACTATCTTCTTTTCCTTATGGAAGGAATGTAAAACCAAATAGAGAAAACTACAAAAAGGAATAAATGCATTTTATATTTATTATTTTATCATTCAATAACTAAACTAAAAATAATTTTGCTACCTTTAAGAAAAGTTTTTAAGTCACAAAAATGAATGCATTTTTTTCATTCCTTTTATTTCCAGAACACTTAATAATAACTTTGCCAATATGATACAGAAACAATTAAACATAACCAGGCAGTATTCGGCTCCAACAGAAAGGGGAAATTAGGCAGAAGGAGCTAAGATGGCGGAGGAATAGGATGGGGAGACCACTTTCTCCCCCCAAAATTCATCGAGATCATTTGAACGCTGAGCAAACTCCACAAAACAACTTCTGATGGCTAGCAGAGGACATCAGGCACCCAGAAAAGCAGCCCATTGTCTTCGAAAGGAGGTAGGACAAAATATAAAAGATAAAAAGAGAGACAATAGAGTTAGGGACGGAGATCCATCCTGGGAAAGGAGTCTTAATAGAGGAAGTTTCCAAACACCAGGAAACCCTCTCACCGGCAGGTCTGGGGAAAGTTTTCGAATCTTGGAGGGCAACCTAACTGGGAGGGAAAATAAATAAAACCCACAGATTACATGCCTAAAAACAACTCCCAGCAGAAAAGTATCCCATACGCTCGCATCCGCCACCAGCAAGTGGGGGGCTGAATGGAGAGGAGCAGGTAATATTGCTTAGGGTAAGGACCAGGCCTGAAAGCCCTGAGGGCAATCTGAGGGAACTAACCAGAGACAGCAACTTAAACTGTGGGATAGCAAGAGAGAGAGAGAATTAATCTGGGAAAAGCCCTAAATTTAGGCATCACCCACCTGTTCCCAGAACAAAGGACTGAGCAATTCCAGAGAAGAGCTAGCCAGCTGCAGACCGGCCCATCTCCCGCCGGAGGCAGCGGGGAGGGGAAAGGGGCAAACTCGGCAGAGACGGCATCCCCTACCAAACTGCAAACAGGCTTCCAGTCTCTAACCAAAGACTTCCTGAGATTCTGGATGGTTGACATCTGCCGGGAGGGTTGCAGTCAGAAATCAGCTTCCCAGAAGAGACACAAGGCGCACCCGACCAGCGCGCCCAGAAACTGAGGCTGGGACCACGGAGGGGATAAGGTGCATGGCACCCGGGGAGAGTGCGCTCCTCAAGCTCCTGGTTCCCTGAGCTGCTCCGAGCCGGGAAGGCACAAAATGCAGGCCCAACCGAGTCTGCAGCTTTGTGAAGTACCTGAAAACCTGAATCTGAGCAGCTTAGGCCTGGGAAGTGCACGCAACTCAGGGCCCGCTCCCTGTAGAGCAGCCTGGAGCCTGAGCAGTGTAGACGGGGAAAGTACACGGGCCATGAGCAGGGGCAAACCCATTATGGCCGGAACACTGCGAGTGCTCCCCACACACGCCAGTGATATTTGTCTGCTGTGCCCCTCCATCCCCACAGCACCACTGAACAAGTGAACCTAAACAAGACACTACCTCTGCCACCTTGTGTCAGGGCAGAAACTAGACACTGAACAGACCCGCAAACAGAAGCCAAATAAACAAAGGGAACCACCTTAGAAGTGACAGGTGCAACAGATTAAAATCCCTGTAGTTAACACCGACTAACCATGAATCAAGGCAAATTGGAAGTGGTCAAACAAGAGACGGCAAGAGTGAATGTTGACATTCTAGGAATCAGTGAACTAAAATGGACTGGAATGGGTGAATTTAACTCAGATGATCATTATATCTACTACTGTGGGCAGGAATCCCTTAGAAGAAATGGAGTAGCCATCATGGTCAACAAGAGAGTCCAAAATGCAGTACTTGGATGCAATCTC